GTGTAGATTATAAGTGAGAAAATTATTTCCGTAAATTGATAGAACTCCGATCTTGAATTCTTCGATCAAGTTCTTAAGCTCTTCAATGATCGATTGGTTAACTGGGCCACAGTGTGAAAGATAATAAATCCGGGCGAGACAGAGAATGTGATTCAAAGTTTTGGGTCTCAACAATCCAATGGCAGTTGGCAAGATATAATATGAAAGAAAAGAATCATACTCATTTGATTTCCAGAATCTTATTTGATCTAAATCTCTTGGTCTTCTAGTGAACTCGGATGTTACTTTAATCTGTATCAAGCGACTTGAGAGCTCACGTTTGAAAAAGGCTTTGTCTTTTCTCATACATTTAACTGTATTTGAATCGAAAATATCACTCGATGAACTAACCATCCAGCCAGAGATTATCAGCTTTCTTAAGATTCCTAGAATCAAACAGTGCATTGATTCTACTGTGACACCATCAACAATATCGAACGAATTGAGTTTTAGAAGGGGAGAGATTTTTTGGATTCCCCTGAAACGTGGATTCAAATTTTCAGTTTCATTATCTATGTTTTCGCTAATTGATTCTTCAAATGAGGAAAAATCTTCACGTTTTCTTTTCAAGGGATTCAGCTCGAAAATAGTTTTATTAGGATATATTCTAGCACCTCTACTTGATGACGAAGCTGTGACCAGACACCAGTCACAGCCATTGAGATGATTATATTGTCTTACTCCTCGTAAATAAGCTCTCATTGGAGCATCAGCAACAAGTCCAATCAGACAGAATCTAGCTTTAAGAATCGATGTATTTTGCCATTGAAACGAAATTGGCTCGTCTTCCAAGCTCTTCAATTCTTCAATTATCGGTCCAAGATAACTTTCAACAACGGGCTTGAATTTTCCAACATACAACCCAACTAAGAAGAAACTTTTCCTTCTGGAAACAGGTTTCAATTCATTGATGGAAATAAAAACCGGGAATATTTTGATTGAAGAACTATTTCCTGCTTGAACCTCGTCAGAATGTAAGGTTAAGGTAAAAGTCTTCGTATCAGTAATTATCTTAGACTTTTCTCTCTTAGCTAAGATTCCATTACTTACATCTGTAACATTCGATTCTTCTTCAGATTCAACCAACCAATCGTTTTCAGGGAAAAAAGGAAGATGTGTAATCAGCTGTTCTTTCAAAGAAACATGTAGAAAGTATTTTTCACTCTTCAGTTCAGCTTGAATCCGTTCACCTTCACATTCAAAGTATCCATAGTTTTTCGGCTCTCCGAAAAAAGGTCCATGAGCATGTTTTTTATCGCAAATCAGATAAACACTCACCGGGTTACTTTTTGCTCTCTTGTCCCACAAATATCTCGCACTTGGAATCTTGATCTGAGAATCAAAGAATCTTAGATTCATATTGTTGAATAAATTTATCACTTTCTCGGCTTGATTCAAATTCAAACCAGCATAGCTTAAACATGAAGAAACAACAGCTTCTCCATATTCTCTGAAAGAAGGCTGTTTTTTCTCGTCCATTTCAGATTGTTGACTACTAGAGAATTCTTCTTCAGAATCTGATTCAAAATTCACCGAATCATCAAAATCGATTGACAAATTGTTAGACTGAACTTCCTCACTTTCATATTCAGGAAGGGCATCTAAGTAGAGAGATTCACGATACAGATGAGAAGATCTTATTCTTCTGTTGATGTTTCTCGTTGAAGACCCGATTGTTGAACGTTGTTCGGTTGACATTTTATCTTTTTAACTAATTAAATTCAAACAACATTTTGAGAAAATCACAAAATAAAATAAATCACCATAAATATAATAAACATTTAATTAAATTGTTTTGTCATTGAAAATTTGACTTTGAAACCAACGTGGTTGAAGAAAGGGGGCGTTTCTAAATTAAAAAGAATAGAACAAAATTCAAAAAGAATAGAACAATTTTTTTTCTATTCTCTTTAACCCGTTACCATAGTTTCCATATCTAATCAATCATAATCTTCACTTGATTTTAAAGATAAAACTTATCTTTTCAGGAAGTTGAACTTCATTTTTAAATCAGTTTCATCTTTTAAATCAAATTCTGTTGTTTTAAAATAGTTTTATTTTGTGAGTTTTTCCATTTTAAAAGTAAAATCGACTTGAATGGAAAAATATTTCCGGAAACAGAAAAGTCAAACGTTTAGAATCATGTCCACCCCTCGACAGCCATCAAAATCTCGTTATATTTTCAATCAGAAAACAATAGTAGGAACCTTTTGTGATCTCATGGATGATGAAAACTGATTCTCTGCTTAATCAGAATCAAAGACAAGAAAGATGGAGAGAAAACTCTGCCAGTTGGTTTCAAATTAGAAACTGACAAGCTTCCGACAGTTGTGAAATGGATGAAAGTACATCCAGAAAATCTGATGAATCTACATATCGATGGACTTAAAGGTATTCCGGTGATGCTCGTCGCTTATGGTGGTAAGTGAATCAAATTCACAAATTTCTGTATTCTTTAACTACGATTCTTTATTTTTTGACAGATGAATCAAAGGATCTAATTTCTTCATATAAAAAGCTCAGTATTAAGCTTCAAAAATACAATCTCCCTGGACTAGCAACTAAGATCACCCATTGGCTGCCAATTAGAAATATCACTCTCATCAAAAATGAGGATAAGCTTCTCAAAGCGATTTCTCTAAATGAATTCGAGTCCTTGATCAAGCAAGCTGAATGTCTTCGTAAATTCGAAATTGCTTCCAAAGATGGAGAGAAAAGTCAACAAGATGAAGTAAAAGATGATGCATCACAAGCTGATGATGAATCAGTTGCATCAGATCAATCATCAATAGTTTTAGCTCCTGCCTCTTCTGGATCTCAGAATGAAACTGTTACCTCGCTTTCTGAAGTTCTCGCTGAAACTGTTTCAAGAGTTGAGAAATTGAAAAACCCACCGGAATCATTCACAGCTGATCAATTCAATTCGATATTCGCTGCAGAAACAATTGCTATACTATCATCGTTCTCTCAAATCGTGTTGTCACTGCACTCAAACATTCGATCGCTTATTGAAAAACAAACGGGAAACACAGAAATGGAGAGTAGATCCGGTACCAGAATCATACCAGAAGATCTGACTCATGAAATCGGTTCAATCACGATGATTGAAGGTGTACTACCCGTTAAATCGAGGCACTATGCTAAAGCTTTCAAACATTTGACCAGAAAAATTCATCAACGAGAGCCAAACGTTCTATTTAATAATGTGGTTAAATACTGCTTTCCATCTCATTGGATTCTGAATACTACCTTGAGAGGGAATTCCAAGAAAGGATCTCTCATTGAATTATGGAATCATGAATCTCCTCTATGTAATCCATGTTCAGGAAAAATAGATCGTAACTTGGGACAACGGAGATTACAAGCTTTATTAGGTAAGATCAAGATTAATTATTTAAAGATTGATTCTCTAATAAGTGTTTTTTACAGATCATATTTTGAGGAAATGTGGCAAAAAATCATATGATTCTGTGGCTGAAAAACACTTCGCGAACCAAATCGGCAAAGCAATGTGTAATCTCAGAACAAAACTTGAGAAAAATTATAATGGCTGGGCAACCGTTTGGGAAAATTGGAATCAAGTAGAAAGTGAAGATGATTTGGAATCTTTATCAAGTGGATCTGATGATCAACCAGAGGCGATTCAATCTGAGAATTCAGCTTCTAAGAATCCACCTTCTAAGAATCCAGCTTCGAAGAATCAACAACCCAAGGATCTACGCGGAAAAAAAAATCTTAAAGCAGGATCTACATCTACACCAGATCCATCGTACATCAGAGTTACTAGAAACTCCATTCACAGAGAAAGAGAAGAGGAATCATCCGTTTTGAATATCTCGGAGAGTCATTTGAAGAATCTCGAATACGATGCAGATCAGAAAGATTGTGATGGCGCTGGCTCAGAAACTGGAGTTCTCGTTAACGATTCATCTTCGATAGCTGAGGTCAACCAAAATGATGAAATCAATGACCATTCACAAATCGTTGGTGATTCGCGAAATCTGGATGAAACTGATCAACAAATAGATGGTCAATCTGAGCCGATTTCCTTGGTTGCAAATATCAGTGCGAAAAATCTTGCAAGTTTTCTTCCGTTAACACAGAGATTGACAGAGCAAAATTTAGCTCCCAATGGAAATCCTTCAACACCGTTAACTACAATTGAAAGAATAGAATCCGATGTTGATTCTGTTAAAATTGATTCCATTGAAAAGAATCAAGTTTTTGAGAAAACCGATGATTCAAGCTCGATGAATCTTGAACAAATCAACAGAGAAAATACTGACGGTGAATCTTCGATGACTGAAAATGCTTGTTCAAGCATTGTTTCTAATACATGCCAAGATGAAACCACCGACGAAGAAATCTCAATTTCCAAAAAAAGGAAATCATCATTGACATCAGAAGATTCAAATCTAAGAAACAGAAGAATATCGACGATGAAACCCAGAAGAATCCAGTGTTGATGATAATAATCAAGGAGAAAGTTCTAAAGATGAATCCACTCAAGTTTCACTCGACGCCATTAAATTCATGAAAGAAAATGGATTGTGGGATCAATTTCTACTAGCAAAGAAAAACCCAAAGTGATCATATGAATAGGATTCAAGAAGTTTTGCAATCAAAAAAGTAACATTTTCATTTACTTCTTTCAAATTTTCAATTTTCAAAGACAAATTATTTTCATAGATTTTGAATCAGCTTTAAATCACGTGCTCAATATGCATTGTATTACGAAATAGTCACATTTATCCCCAATCTGATTCAATCTAATCACAAAATTATTTCAAAATGGGGAATCAATTATCTCATCCCCTTCATTAGAATCAAAGTTACTTTTCCCATTAAAAATTTCCTTTTCCGGAAATGATTTCCTTGCAGAGTATTTATAAACTGTTTCTCTTCACAATCAAATAATTTTTGTGTTTCAAAGGGAAAAAATGTCTTTTTTGAAAAGAAATATGAAAACCTTTGGTCCTAAAGAAAATTTAAAACAATCTGTTGAAAGTGAAACATCATTGTGTCAACCATCAACAAGTGCTGGAATCAAGAGAAAACTTTCAAGTGATATCAACAAAAAATCAACGCTATTAGAAAAGAAAAAGTCTTCTGAGAAATGTGATTCTGATAAACTTGTAGATAAATTGCCAAAGAATCTACTTTATGTGATTTTGAATCCATTTATTTTGAATGAAAAGTATGAATCTTTGAATCAACCGTTCCTTGTGAAGATTCAGGAATCTCAGCTCAAAAGTTTTGGATTCAAATTACCTTTCACAAAGTTTATGGACTTAAGTGAAAACTGTTTCAAGATCCAACTAAGGACGTATGATGTTTATGTATCTATCATTGCTATTGGAGGTGAGTCAAAAAAAGTGGTTGAAAAATTATAATTTAGTAAATTTATCTTTTTTCAGATTCTCCTCTAGAAATAGGCAAATCGTTGAAAGAAAACGTAGATAGAAATCAAGCTCTGAATGGTATGAAGAAAATCAAGAAATATACTGACTATGTTACAGAGCTTACTCATGTTCCATTAGATTCAGCTGATGATCTTCCTCCAAAGCAAGTTTTCAGTTCTAGAATCTTGAGCTATATATTTGGAAATGATTCTCAAACTGAAAAAATTGATTCAAATACATCTGAAACAAAAAAGCAGGTGAAGCTCGAGAATTCTAAACCGTGCGAGGATGAGAATAATATTGGTAAAGATCTGGACTTTCCTGATTATAAAGCAAAGGTTCAAGAGTTTGAAAAGCCGAGAATAGATTCACATAGATCAGAGTTAGATCTTTCAATAACTCAGATTTTGATTAAAAGTGTTTATGAACAGTTGAAAGATCTAGATAAGATGAAATCAAACCTATCAGACAGAGATACGACTGGATCTATTCTGCTAACAGTTATCAACCTTTTGTCTGATTTCATCAAATTGGTTGATCATCAAACAAAGAAAGAGGATGAAACTGCTCAGTCTATTCCAGAAACAGACAGAACTTATAAAAATAGTACAAAAGTATGTTTGGATTCAAGTTCTTATTTTCATATTTTTAATTAATAATTATGATTTTCATGTCAACAGAATAAGATCTTTCTTGAAGGATTGATTCCATTGATTTTGATCAATATAAATCAGCAATCAGAAACGCAAGACCAGGTGATCCAACTTCATTCGCTTATCAAATTGTAATGAGTTTTCCAGAAAGTTATTACAAAATGTAACACTTGGTAAAAAGTTTAGATCAAAAAACTTTGGAATCATATATTTCAATTGATACAAATTTTCTGGAGCAATACAGCAAAATATCCACTTGCATTCATTTGGGGATTTGAAGACCCACTCAATGCAAGAATCCAAGGAGATTTTGATTTTAAACTTGGACTGAATCGAGTTCAAGCTTTCATAAGTGAGTTTCTCAATAGAATAAGTAAAATCAAAATCCTGAGAATCAAACTAATTAGATTTTTTATACAGATCATTGTTTCAGGAAAGCCGACATTCTAAAGTATTCATCAAAAGCCGAGAATGAAGTTCGCAAGCGAATCATCAAAGCCTTTTGTGCAAGAAACACAATTTTGAGATCGCAAAATGACAAGATTCATGACCAGGAATACGACAAAACAAATTTTGATTTTCTAGATTCTATAGCAATAACACAAAGTTTTCCCTAATCTTGAGATTCATAATATAAATAAATAATGATTTCTATCGGATTTTTGTTTCTTCTAATTTGTTAATCTTTCGGAAATTCGCGATCAAAATCTTATTGATTTTTTTAATTGATTCATTGGTACTAGATTCTTGATTTTCTGATTCTCATATCAATCAGTTAGAATCAATATTTTTTGACAACAACGACAGTCGAATTTGAGTCAATTGCAACTAAAAAGGAGTTCATTTGAATCAATTTTGAATCTTTAAGCGCATCAAATCTGTCATTTTAGAGTCAATCCGGGTCTTATTCTTTTGAGTCAATTGAGAGTCTAAATGGCCGAGTGAGAATAATTTTTGACTCTAACTGGAGTCTCTTCTGTTGATTGGGTATCATGAAAACATTGAATTGTTACCATGAAAAAAAAGGTCATTTTCCATGGTGGCAAAATGTTTACTCAAAATTTCATCCTAATTCAGGGTGATTCCTTATATTATTTACTACATGATAAGCTGTGTTAATCCATTGGATTTAAGTCTCATGGGGATTTATGAACATTTTGTAAAAACAGGTTGAAATGATTATCCATGAACTTCAATCTGATAATCATCATGGTAATCATGATGCAAAATAAAGTTTCAAATAGTCTTGAACTCATCCGATTTTTATTTCTTACTTGATTTATCCTGATTACCTGAATCAAATCACTCAGAATCTCATTTATATTTTATTGTTATATGATTATCATCATGTCAACAAGATTATCTTCCTGATGATGATTGTTATTGAGTGTTCATGATTACTTATCAAAGATAATCATTGAACATGCAAGAATAATATGATAATATGTAAGAATCATGAAAAAAGAATGCGAAAAATTCAAGTTATCATGAACTTTTTTTCTTTCTCTAGTTACTTGTTTGTTTCATATGGAATTCTGTGAATTTTGATAACCAGAACTCACAATCAAACAAGAAAATTGTAATAACAATAAAAGAGGGAATATTTTGATTCTGAACTTCTGAGTTTTCCCTTTGAACTTTAAGAACTTTTTCTTTCTCTTCCGGAGCTCAACTTTTTTCCATCGAGTGTTTTTTTCTCATCTCAGCAAATTTTTCTCTCTCTTCACTTTGGATTACTCATTATTCTGTATTCATTTAAAGTTCATGATTATCGTTTTTCTTTCACATGAATTTATAATCAACTTTTCAACTTATCGACTTAGAATCACATAATATATTTTTCCACCCAAAATTCATTTGAATAACTTTTTTCCCACTCCCAGTGTCTTCATCTTGTTCCCCATTTGAAGATACATTTACAAATATCATCAAGTTTTCCCTACCGATGTTTACATGGTGAGTAAACCAATTTGACCTTATGGAAAGACTTCCAAAGTTCTGAATAAAATTCAGTTTCCATGGGAATTTTTTTCCTCCTTTTTCATAATCTACATGAATGTAAATCTGTCATTCTCATTGTTGTTTAACTGTTTTGTTTGTCACCTTGTTGTCAAATGAAAATCATTCAAAAATTTACACAGTTTCCACAATGGAATAGATCTTATCATGAAATAGTTCAGTCTATTAACTGAACGGTTACATTATAAAGATAACCAAAACTTTGGAAACAATTTGAAGAAAAGAGATAATCTAATCAACTGAATCAATCTGAACTTTTCACCCTAAACTCAAGAAGGAGACAGAGAGACAAAGAAAAAGAGAGATAAAAGTTCAATTGGAGGAAACAAATTCCTTGTTGTTAATGATTAATTCATGATAACCAACAGGGGAGAGAGCAAGTTATATATCTTTTCATTAGAAATATAGTTACATTGAATATGTTGCTCAATCGATTGAGATTTTGGTTAAGCTCCCTTCAGAACTTGGACCTGAACTGAGCAATCATGAGATGATTATTCATTCACATGGAACATGATATCGATTTTGAAACATGAAGATAGTAACAAAAAAGTCTAAGGGACTATGATGATGAGAGATTCAGATGGAAGAGCAAGAATTTTTTCTCTTTTTCTCTCAGAACTTTCTCTCTTTCCATTTAAATTTTTCATTAAATTTTCCTCTTTCTGATTCCATCATGAGTATAATAAATATCAAGGTCGATCCTCAGGAATAATTCTCCCTGAACGAATTTGATGAAAAATCTTCTCTGATCTCTTTCACTTTGTCTCCTTCCTTTGGAAATATTTATTTAGTGTTAAACTTTTTTCTTTTTTTTCTCTCTCTCTCACTACGAACTAATTTTACTATTGGTTCGACCAAAGTTCTGTTTTCCATTGTTCATGTATCACCATCATTCACTTTATCATCACCATGATCATCCTTGTCCTCCAACTTTTTCCCATTGAACTTGATTCTTGCTCCTATCATCACAAAAGCTTCTGGAATCATAATGTATTCAGATGATACTTGAATCTTGAAAGAGTTTGAAACAAAAGTGGATAAAGTTAAGACTGAATCAGGGAGATTAGAGTGGTTGAAAACTCAGAGGATTTCAATGAAAATCAGTGAGTTTTATTTAGATTAAAGTTTCATGAATAATGTTGATGAAGATGAGAGGGATTACCATGGGTAGATTAAATTGTGAGATTGACTTTATGGTGAAAATAAAAACAAACGGGACAACAAATATTCATTGAGAGAATTGATTAATTGCATTAATAGGATTTCATTTCGTTTTTTGTTGGAACATGAATTATATTAAATTGATTTAACTCTAAGTTTCAAAAGATCAATGAGATCATGGTGATGACTCTCTCAACTATTGTTCAATTAAATCTCTTGTGAAACTAATTTCAATATCTCTGAACTTACCTGTTCTTTTGTGATAATAAATCATCAGCATTCATCAATAGAAATCTAATAATTTGGACAATCCCATTCTTAGAATCTGATCTGAAACTTGATCTTAGACAATAAGTAAGGATTAACTACCGAATAAGATTAGATTATAAATTATCATCAACTCCACAATCTAATTATAACAAACGATTTACTTTTATATTGAAAAAAATTTCTGAATTATGTTACCGCCTTTTAGATTCACAACATTGAATCATAATCATTGAATTGGATCACAGGTAAGTAACACACCCAAAGATAAATCTCATGATAAAATGTATACATTTCACTGAGTTCTTCACCAAATAGTTCTTGTCATCTTCATGATGAAACATGATCGTTAGATGGTTACACCTAAAGTCCAACGAATGACTCAATTTAAATTATTCTCTAATGAAGAGTAATGATTCCGATAGAATGCTGTATTTTCCTCCTATTGGAATTTCTGGAAATTTCAGACCAATTCCACTCGATTTCAAACTCATGATACAACAAGAGAGCGAGAGAGACTTTGGCTTTACTTTGGCATTATCACGTTAGCAAGTACATTAGTTTTCGCCATCAATTTTAGTCATATTCTACTCAGAATTCTAGTGATGATGAGAATCATGAGATAGATGAACTAATAGAGAAGTCGAGAAAGTTTTCGAGATCATATCTGGACAGAAAACTTTAAATTTCAAGTTTCATTTACTTTTGACTTTACTTTCACTCTCAGTTCCTAATGTTTGATATCAACGATTACATATATTTCATTCATCCCATGAACTCAGTAATCTACTTGCTGTTTAGTCATCTGATCTGCTTCCATAAAATTATAAAATCAAGAGGATACTGAAAATTTCATACAGAGAACATGATAAAAAAAAGATTGGAATCTGAAAATTCATCATTTCCTCACCCATATGAGTTAAAGTTATTGGATTGAAAAAGTTACTTTGAATCAGATAAAAGCAATTCCTTATGAAATAAAAGCTTAAATGTCCATTTCTTCAATAATGGTCGATGGTCAAGTCGATGGTCATGGTTACTGAATAGGCTGAAAGATTAGGGGTGAGAAAAAAATCGAAAATTTTTCATAAAAAAAAAACTTTCAACCTTATTTTCACTCCCATTTAATTTCAAAAGAGTTTCTTCCCATCTTCATGATGAAACTCGATAACAATCATGTTTAATTTGCTAGAGTTCTGAATTCAGGGGATAAAACAAAAGTTCCAAAGTGACTATTATCGTTATCATTATTATTTTTATGGTTATATCTTTTTATTTGCTTACTAAAACCAGAAATATAACAAAATTCAACCTCTATCGCCCTCCTATTGAACATTTGACTATCTTCAAATGAGAGGTCAAACGATGACCTTGCATTACCATTGAACTTATTGTTGAAAGAACAGAAAACTTTTCCTCTCCAGAATTAACCTAATAAACGTTAGATTTTGCTAATACCACAAAGGAAAAGTTTCCGAGGTGGGATTTGCAAGATGTGTGTTTCTCACTAA